GGGGAGAGGGGGTTGGGGGCAGGGGGGCAGTGAGAGAGGGAGATAGAGTCAGAGGAGATAAGACAGAGTCAGAGATAAGACAGAGACAGAGCCATCAAGAGACAGAGAGAGGGAGAGATGCAGGGGATGCAGAGGGGGCAGTGAGAGACAGACAGACAGAGACAGAGACAGCGAGCTGTCACGTCAGGAAGGTTTTGCTGTCAAAGCAGGGATGAAGTTCCCTCATGAGGTGAGGGCACTGCAGCCCCTACATCAAAGAGCCTGTTTGGGGCTCAATCTATGGAACGCACGACCCCCCAGGGGAGCAGGTCCCAGAGTGAGCGCTGTCAACTCCTTTGAGCTCCGTCGCCTGCCAGCTTGCTGTCCCAAGCTCCCCCAACCCACGAATGCAGAGAAGGGGCTGCGGGAGTGTCACACCTGAAGTCATGCCTGGGAAACACCTGCCTGCTGAGCCTGGGGTCCCTCTGTCATTCACCCCCTCGGGGATGGAGATGACGACGGCCCTCTGCACCTGGCGGGCCTGCTTGCCTGGGTTCAGGGGATAAGTGCTGGGTAGACGCCGGGCAGCCTGTGGGTGGATCCTTGGCCTGCACCCCCAGGGCCCACCTGAGACAGATCTGAGCCGTCTTCTGGAGATCCAGCCCTAACCTCGAGATGCTTCCCAGCCTCATCCCCTGGTATCAGGGCTTAGGTTATTCCAGAGCTTTGTCAAGTGATGCTGTGGGTTGAATGGTGACCCCAAAAGATAAGTACACACCTAACTTGAGATGTGATCGTATTTGAAAGAAGGGTCTTTGCAGATGAAATTAAGGATCAGAAATCATTCTGGATCAGGGTGGGCCCAAAGTCCAATGACAGTGCCCTTAGAAGAGACAGAAAAGGAGATGACCCAGGGACCGTGGAGGACACCACGTGAAGATGCAGGCAGAGGCAGAAGTGATGCAGCCACAGGCCGAGGAGCCCAAAGGGCCACCAGAAGCCGGAAGAGGCAAGAAGGACCCTCCCCGAAAGCCCCAGAGGGCGCCCAGCCCTGCCAACACCTTGATTTTAGACTTTGGTGTCTAGAACTGTGAGAGAATGAATTCTGTTTTAAGGCAGCTTGAAAGCTTGTGACAGTCTGTGATGGCAGCCTCAGCAAACTCATACAAAGAAGAGGTGCCCTGCATTGCTAATATCCCAGGGTTCATCATTCTGAAGCCCCGCCTCCCACGAAGTTCTGGAAGTGTCCTTGGAAGTTGGGAGCCCCGAGCAGGCTCTCACCTTGCAGCATCCCTGAAAAACAGTAGGCTGTTAGCTTAACATTTCAGAGCTGAGGGCCATGGTGAGAAGGTCTCCCAGGGCCACGAGGAGGCCTCGGCTGTTTACTGGCGGACGAGACGGCTCTGCCCTGCACAGAGTCCCTTGATCCAGAGCCCGAGGGGCAGCCGCCCGGCCGCAACCCTCACCCGGGGAGGCCCGAACAGAAGTCCCCCACCTTCCCCACCGGCCCAGAGCCCCCAGCCCCGCAGGCACAGCCGGGGAACTGGAGAAGCACATTCATTGTTATTCCGCAAAAATTCAACAAACCGCAGCACAGAAAGCTCCTTTCCTCAGCCACGCCCACAGAAACGGTGGTGCTGGCACTGCTGTGCTTTCCTGGGTCATCTGGGAGCTCTCGCTGCTGTGAATCCACATGTCCCAGCAGCGTGGCGGTCATGTTGTCACGACCTCATCTCCCCGAGGCCCATACCAACCCCGCCCGGGTCACTGGGTGGCCACACGTCCTGGTCTCCCTCCAGGGGGGCCGTGCCCCGTGCGGGGAGGCTCAGTGCTGAGTAGCAACCTGGGCCTCCGGCCCTGCTCTACACTGCCCGACGGGAGGGGGTCTCACGGGACAGGCTGGAATCCCAGCTCTAACACTCCCTCGCCGTGGGTCCCTGTACAAGTCATGTCGCCTCCTGGGCCTCCGTGTGCTCAGCTGAGAGACAGGAAGGTTGACCCACCCCCCGGAGGGTAAATAACGGAATCCTGCAGGTGTGGGGTTAGCGGGGTGCCCGGCGCACGTCTGACAGCGCCGCCGACATTTCGGTTTAACTCTTCTCTAGGATGCCCTTTCGTATCTCGGGTGAGTTCTCAGGCCCGGAGGTCCTGCAGGGTCCCCGAGCCCTCACCAGTCCTTCCGTCCCGCCCCGCTTCCCTTCGCTCCCCTTGGATCTCCCACCCTCGCCCCTCCCCTTCCTTAAAATCTGCTCAGGAAGGGCAGCCCTACTCATTTGCTCCACGTGCAGACAACCCACTGGGCCTCCACGTGCATCTACGTGGCCCCTTCGTGCTTAATGCCCTGTGCAGACGCCAGCCAAATGAGACCTGATGGCGGCGCCGTTCTGTGTGAGGGGTTCCCCTGGGGTCACCACAGTACTGGGGGGCAGCGCCCTCTCTGTGATCTCAGGACTGGCCTAGCCACACTCCCCAAAGCTTCCAGTCGGCTGCGCACACCTGACAGCATCATAGGCACAGTGGACTTTTCTGTGGCCTCTGTGGGTGGTGGGAAACGGAAGACGAGCAGGGGATCCTGGCCCTGGGACTGTCACTGTCTACCTGGCCTGCTGGGGTGGGCCTGCTTCCTCCAGACTCGGTGGCACTGCCTTTGGTCCAGCCTCTGTTCCTGCCGCCGTTAGAACCCAGTTCTCTGTGACCACCTTCCTCCTTGAGTGAGAATCTGACTCTGGCCCCCAGGAAGGGCTGAGGGCTCTGGCCAGGCTTCACTTCTGAAGGCCACCTAGGCCCCAAAGACAGTTTGGGGCCTCCCGAGGAGCCTGCCTTTTCAGGGATGGGGCGGCTTATCCTTGGGCCTCCCCACCTCATTCCTGGGGGTTTACTTGTGCCAGGAGTCCTGGCTCTGTCACAGCTGCCCCCTCCTCCAGTAGGTGGGCTACATCCTCATCCCAGCTTCAGGGCCGGCAGGAGCAGAGGACAGGTCCTGCACCAGGAGCTTTTGCCCACATCCTCGTCTGGCGGCCCAGGAGGCGCAAAGGCCGCCTGGCAGCTCTCACGGCTCGCAGACCCGCCTCCCGCCCTGAACCCAAGAACTGCCAGGCCTCAGGCTTTTATACAAGACAAAACAGAGTTGTCTGCATCTTACTCAGACTTACCCCTGAGCCACGTGCTGGCAGAGCGAAGGGGGTGGGGAATCACCTCCCCGAGATAACTTCCAGGGCCCTGCGGTTTGAGCTCAGGTCTCCACGGGGGCTTCCACTCTCCTCGTGGCCCTGCTGCCTGGCGGGCCTGGCTCCAGCCCCGGCCTTAAGCCCCCGGCACTTTCGAGCCACCTGGAGGTCAGGCTGCGCTCCAGGGGGATCTGGGTCAGGGTGTAACTGTTGCATCGGCTGATGAGTCTGCTGGGCTCGGGGCAGCCGCTTCTGCAAAGAACACAAGAAGCGAAACTGACGAAACCGGCCTCTGAGAACTCAGTGGCGGGGTTTTCTCTGCACAAAACTGGACTCATGCCTCATCTTGACTTGAAGCCCAGCCAAGTCCGGGCTTCGCTGTTGCCCTGAGCCTGGCTCGGGGACCCCGCCTGCAGCTCTCGGGAAGCCTGGTAGCCACCCCTCAAGGGTAACCTCACCCCGTCGAGGCACCCAGCCTCCCCAGCTGGCAGATGCAACTCTGTTAAGAGCCACCTGCTCTCCTGGGCGGGGATGGGACGGGCAGCGACCCGTAGAGCCGGACCTGGGCTGAAGGATGGATTTCTAGAGCTGTGGGAAGACCCCTGGCTCCTCCCAGCCTGAAATACAGCTCTGAGTACTGATTCCTTAAGGGTTTATTTTTATTTGTTTATTTTTTATTGGAGTAGAGTTGATGTACAATGTTGTGTTTGTGGCAGGTGTACAGCAAAGTGAGCCAGTTATACACACACATATACCCACTCTTTTATTAGATTCTTCTATACAGGTCATTGCAGAGAATCGCGTAGAGTTCCCTGTGCTGTACAGTAGGTCCTCATTGGTTATCTATTTTATATACAGTAGCATGTATATGTCAATCCCAATCTCCCAACTTAACCCTCCCCTCTTTCCCCCCAGTAACCATAGATTGTTTTCTACATCTGTGACCCTACTTCTGTTTTATAAATAAGTTCAAGTTCAGAGGCCGAGAAAGGACTGTGGCAGGGGAGGGTTTGGGGGCTCACTGAGCCTTCCTTGCCCAGGTCAGAAGGGTCAGGGCTTCCCAGGGGCATGGGGCTTTGTGGTCTTTCACAGTCATTTCCCAGACTCTGGGAGGAGGTATTTACAGCCGTCCTATCTGTGTCTTGGAAAGTTCATGTTATACTAACTGGACACCTCCTGGCTCAGTTACTTTTCTGTTTCTTTCTTGAGACACTAAATATGAGGGGATGTTGGCTCATCAGAGGGAAGAGAAAGCACCTTATGAACAAAGAATAAACAAGAGGGGAATGTATTCACGCCTGTGGGTGCTAATACTCCACAGGAATCCCAACGTTCCCTAACCTCTGCCCCCAGATCAGCCAGCCAGCGGGGGAGGTGGGCAAGGGCGGGCTTTTGGTTTGTCGCCTTGGCCCAAATAGGAGCTTCAGGGAGGGCTCTGTGCAGGGAACGCCACCGCCAGCCCCGGGTGCTGGATGCCGAGGGCTTCGCTGACGCCCTGCTCCACCCCTCTGGTCGTTCGCTGCAAAGACTCTGGTCAGCAAGAAGTTGCCACCACCGCGCTCTGCTTGAGCAGCCTCTGGCTGTTTTCTCACCCGCTCATGTCCTGTCTCTTCCCCGCCCACAGACTGGGACGAGTGTGCAGACAGCCTGCAGCACGACTGCTCGCCGGCCGCCCAATGCATCAACCTCGAGGGCTCGTACACCTGCCGGTGCCGGACGGCCAGGGATGCCCACCCCTCCAGACCGGGCCGGGCCTGTGACGGTGCGCCCCAACCCCAAGCCCCCAGCTCTGGACTGAGCCCCCTCCCTGAGGACCTGGGGTGGAGCAGGGTTGGCTTTTCTCAAGCAGGGTGGGCACAGTGCCCGGGGCCCACCATAGTGTTAGGGGCCCATGAGAATGATTTAATTGCTTTTAAAATCAAAAGAAAAAAATAATCTAATAACAGTAAATATCAGTTACGAATCTAGTCTTTATACCAGTGCAGTTTTAAAGTATGATTTAAAATTATTTTTATGAATGAAAGGGTCAGAGAAAGTCATGATGAAACCCCTGGGGGCAGGGGTCCCTCCCTGGGTGGACTGGACCCCAAGATGGTGTAGGAGCCCCGGTGAGCATGGAGAAGGCCTTGATGTGGGGTCTCTGAGCCCCATTCTTGGCGTGTCTCTGCCCCAATGTTTCTGGGGGCAAGTTCTGATCAGCTTGTTGGGGCCACCTGGCGTGCTGAGTTCAGAAGCCAGAGGAGGTCACAGACTTAAAATGCTGTGATCGACTAGCAATGTCTGCTCTGGACACAGGGTGGGCAGCAGAGGTGCTCAGCTGCCTGTTTGCCATCCCTGCAAAGGCTTTCTGGCTGGACGAAGCAGCAGAGAATGGTTCCCTGGGAGAAAGCCTCTAGTCCTTAACTACTGTGTATATTGTCCTGCTTCCTAAGGCCCACACAGCTTCTCTTCTCCCATCCTTTTTCTTATACCTGTGCCGCCCAGCAAGCTGATAAGTGACCAGAACCTAGCCCCACACTGAGCACACATTTGGGGGAAATTATCCCAATTTCCCAAAGGCCCGCACATCCATGATCCATCTGAGGCCTGCAAGAACCATGCCTTGCATTTATGTCCTGGTTCTGCAGCCTCCCAGGTGGACCCCCTAATCTCGGGGTCACGGCATCCTCACTGATCAAATGGAGAGTCTCCATGGCCTTCCGAGAGAGCTCTTGGGAGACCACAAACAAGGGCCGTGTCAAACATTCTTAACCACCCGTGGGGATAGCCTGTGCCCCCTCTTAAGGTCACCTGGGGTGGGGGGCTCTTGACCAGAGTAGACCAGACGCCCCGTCTGAGAGAGGATGTGTCTCGGCAGGTGACGCGGTGAGCCCCACGGGTGGTGCGCCATCTCCGGTGACAGGCAATACAGCCCCAGGTCCCAGCACAGAAACAACAGCCCTCGGCCTGGAGACCCCCGCCTTGTCCCCCAGCCCTGGATACCTGCGGCGCACCACTGCAGCAGGCCAGGCCTGGACCCCAGGGCTCCCACCCAGGAGAGGGGTCAGCGGCATGCTCGGTCATGGCAGGAACAACACTGGGCCAACCGTGGAGGGGGAGGCCAGCGTGGCCCCAGGCTTGGGCACCAGCCAGTGGGCGGCCGGCAGGGTGGCTGGCACCACCTTCTCCTCCCAGGCTCCTGGGCCCACCCACAGCTCCCCTCTTGGGGCCATGGACAGCCTACCAGACTCCCCTGGATGGTTGCCTCTTCCGGCCCGCTCCTACCCAGGGCCCCATGGACCACGCCAGCCTCCGCACGAGGGACACGCCGCCAGTACCTCTGGACCCTGCCTGGCCACAAAAGTCAGACCCTGGACCCTCCAGCTCCCCAGGCCTGCCCTCGGCCACCACGCCTGCATCTCTGAAGACCCCAGCCTGCGGTGAGTGGCAGAAAGGGTGCGTCCCAGGGGCCATGTGGAGCTGCTGATGTGTGAGCTCCCTTCGGCAAAGGGTCACGCAGTCGCCCAGTCCAGGGCAGTCCAGTAGCACTGGGTGAGACCAACCCAGTGCCGTGCAGCTCTGTCCCCTGGCGGTTGGCTTCCGGTCTAGTAAGAGTGAGAACTTGGTCTCCCTGCTTTCCCTCCAGCCCGGTCTTCCCCCTTCCTAAGCCTCCCGGTTGCCAACAGCTGGAGCAGGAAGCTGGGCATGTGTTGCATTAAGTGCACTGAGCACGGGGCGCATCCCCCCAGCAGGGTTGAGTCCCCAACCTTTCTGTACCTCCCCAGAAGTTTTGCTTCCCCAAGCCTGCTGCAGCTCCCCCAGGAGCTCTGTACCCTCCCAGCCGTACTGAACCCCGGCAGTTCCACATTACCCATTACTTGTAGAGGCTTGAGCCATCACCAAGACCCCTGGGTGATACCCCAGTAGACAGGCAGCCACTCTGTGCAGGGAACGGGCCTGGCCCTGCGCCTCCCACGGAGGGAGGTGGGCTTGGCAACTCTGTGTGAGCTCACGGAGCTAGCCTGGCCCTGGATTGCATCCAACTGTTAAAAGCAGCTCCGTTGATGCATTTCCTCTGCCTCACAGAGCTAGATCCAAAACTAAACTCTTAAGCCCACGTAAATCACCCAAGTCCCCTGTAGGAATGGTCTGTAGCCAGCAAAGCCCACCATGCTGATTCCTTGGGAAGTCTGCCCAGGGGTTGAGGGGGGCAGCCAATCTGGAGGAGCCGCCCAGAACCTGCTCAAGCAAACTTTGTTTCCAGAGGTCCCGGGACCTCAAGGGTGGGCACAGAGCAAACCTAAGGGGCAGGCGTGCTGTCCCTGGGAGCCCAGGGCTCAGGGGCTGTCCAGGGACTCTGCATCCACATGTGCAGCTGGCAGCTGGGGGACTTGACTACCCTGGGCTGGCCTCCCTTGAGGACTCTCATGTCCCCGTGGCGGGGGGG